AGTTAACATTAAGGATCAGCTTCAAACTCAGGCAGCACCCCAGGGAGGTACCAAAGGATTTTCCCAAAATCAGCTCCTCCAGAGGGCATTTAATCTCAATGCCTTGACGCAACTTCCGAAGACTGCAGCAGAAGCTGGACGCTCGTTTAGTAAGGCTTGAGAGAGAGATGTACATTGACTTGATTGCGCAACAACTTTGCACTGCAGGGCAGGCTGTCCGTCTACCTCCCCTCCAACCACTCTTGTAGGATGAATGCTGCTGCTACACTGCGCATGGACTACACATGCGCACATGCAAATGCATACATATCAACACTATGTATATCTATATATATATATGTAAAGACATATGCAAAGAGAGTTTGATACCACATAAATGTATATGTGTATAAGCATATATGTACATGTTTGCATATGCATCGACATGTACATATACATTTGGTTCAAGGGATACGGGGCGTTCTTAAGGCCACAACGGCAAGCACATCAAGGCGGAGCCCAACGACGAACTTCGTGCCTCAAGCTCGGCAACTTGGAATTAGATGGCCAAAGACTGTGAGGTGTTCCGGGATCTCAGCCGCTTGTGCAGACAACTCGACACTATTTTGTTCTCTCGGATGAAATTTGTTGCTGATGCTGAGCCCATGCTTAGATTTGCGTATTTTCCAGAATTCTTTCTTCTTTCCGTTCATGAGAGAAAACAATGGAAATAATGGACTAGTATGTGCTAAGGCTTGTGACTCACTCCTTCCCGTTGTCCGTCGGCATCAATAATGTTCCTTTTCGACCGCCCTAGTAAGCTACAATCTACCATTAATTGCATTTGGTCGCTTTATATTAGCGGCTCGCATTGGAAGTCACATGGCCTTGTATAAGGTGATCAAGGAGCCGGAGAAGTTCGAGGTTGAGCATTGCGACGCGGATTCTATCCTTTTGAAGTCCCATACTGGGAAGTACTTGAGCGTGGACAAAAAGGGCGACGTAAGAGCAGCAGGACCTCTGATGTGATCAAGTTGAGCTTTGTCTAGGGCTCGCACAAAGTCCCGTCACGGGCTTCAGATCGTACACAAGACTTGACGGAAATCGCCACAAGCAGTCTTTGCAAACTCTCATCTAACTTCACAAAGCTGACCTGTTGTGTTGGCAGAGCTTCTAGGGCCTGCGAAACCACTCCCGTGCTCAGCATTCGACCAACCCACGCTCTTTCCTGGCATCACGCATGTATCCCTACACATATTATCCATGTACAAAGCCCTGAGATCATCCTAATAGTTCCTTTTATCTCCTTGCCAGGAGCATCCGCATCCGACGGATCCGCCTTCCAGGTTGTACTTCAGGACGGTACTGGCAGAAACCAAGGTTCCATGATGAAGAATGTTTCTATACAGGCTTGGTAAGTCGTTATACACCAGTAGGCAGCTAGGCAAATGGAGCCTTTCACAAAAAGACGGCTTAATTTTCCTTGCAGCCACCCAAGACAAGGCCTCCAGACCTTGAATTTACGTGGGACTCACTTTCGTTGGACTTGTTTCATCGGGATTTCGGATGACAGGTCCTGATAACTTGGTCTTCGGGTGCTCTCTGAGATTCACCTTGTAGGAAAGGTGTTTCGGCCCCCCTATAGAAGAAGAACCCCAACTGTGAGAAACACCCATTTGCACGACACGCCAGGAGTTCCCCCCCCCATAGTGCCCTTCGAAGGCCGACCCACGCTTGCAGCAAGCGTAGTGGATTGACCATCAGGACAATGTCATTCACAGTAAGAATCCCGCAGCCGCAGGACAACGGGATGGTTGCACTCCGGAGCCACTGCGGCTTCATGGCGGCCGAAACAAGTGGCCGCATCCGCGCCAACCGCTCACTTGTAGGCCCTGGGCGTTCAGCTTTTGGATGTAGGGCTTGGGGTTTTCGCTTGAAAGCTTTACATGGAGGACTGATGGTTGAGGGTTTGAGGAGGGGTTGAGGGTTTGGAACTCACGTCGGTCCCCCTTCAAACTCTTCTTCTAGCCGACATCTCGGTCCCCCCTTAAACTTCTCTTCTAGACCCTCCCGCCGGCATTTCGGTCCCTCCATTAAATTTCCCTAGAAACGACAGCTGCCTCCGTGGTTTGGCAATCTGCGGCATTGGCCTTTTCTGGCTCTTGGCTTCTCTCTACGAAGTGGTGCAGAACAGGGCGCCCCGGCAGGTCCGGGAAAAAAATTATGTCTGCATTGTTTTGCACCACTTTTTAAACAGAAACCAAAAGCCAGAAAAGACTAATGCCGCAACTTTGCATCTCGGTCACACTTTAATTTCCTCTTTTAGACCCTCCCGCCGACATCCCGGTTCCTGTTTAAACTGCTCTTCTAGACTCACTAAACTTCTCTTCTTCCTCGTGATGATAGATTCAGGGCTGTCTTATCGTCAGCACATTCACTAGCGTGAATGCCGTCAGCAAAGCCTGCACCATTCTGAACATTGCGAAATTGGCAGCAGTAAATGTGCAAGCGGCTGCATGTCTGCAGGTGGGTGAAATCCTTGTCTGCAACCATAAAACAGTGTCCAGGGTTCCCCGGGCAGCAAGCAGAGAACATCAGTTCCCAGCCCCAGACAGCTAAAGCACATCAATCAGAATCGGAGCTCCTGGAGTAAGCTGCAGAGTCAAGTCTGGCAGGGCAGTGGGTCCAACTGCCCATGAAATCGCAGCAGCGAATCCACTCAAATGCAATGCCTTCGTTTTGATAAAGGAGGACGTTGTCGCAGTATTCCCAACTGGGAGATCTGGTCGTTTTCTTAGAAAGAACTTTACATACCCATGGATGGAGCCTCCAAGAAATTCCATGATATGTGTCGTATATCCTATGACGAAGGGTACTCCTGCCTCAATGAACGTCCATGTAGAGCTGAAAATAAGTTGCTGCCAGGTGCCTGGGAGATGTTTCAGGTCAAGGACTCGTTGGGGATCAAACCTTTGTGCCTGGGCTTCCCGGTACATGATTCTGAAAGTAGGGCTTTGCAGTTAAGAGCTCACATGTGGCTTAGGATTGCTTAGCTTAGCACTAAACATGGGCCATCTTCATGGCCACCATCATCGTCATCACCATGACACTGGTGCTGATTGTGGTGGTGTCGGGCACTTTGAAACAAGGGAGGCAGCTGGGCCAGCAACACAACAGCAACTCCAGGTGCTGCAATACTGCACCGGCATGTGGTCGTTCAGGGCTTTGGATACATTTCAGGTTGTTCTTCCTCCGGCACGCTGCAAGGTGACTTCTCTTGCCTGCCGCGATTTTGAAGCAGCAAATCAAAATCTACCCAAGCCATCCCATCGAAAAAATGTCAAGGCATTGAAAGCAGGGTGGAGCCAAGAGCATGGCTTCGCGCATGAAAACACGCAGGCAGGGCACCGGCATCATGGACCACGTGCCCATCCCCCGTCTCGCGAGGACCGATCCGGAAAGGCTCGGGAGAAGCCCAGCGCATCTGAGGAGCCTTTGGAAGCAGCTTGGCCTAAACAGGGGGCATAGTCAAGGTAATCGTTTCGCTCTTGTAAGCCCCTTACACTCCTTAGACGATACGGACTTGTTCCTACGCCAGAAACGTGTATTCCTTGAAAATTTCTTAATATCCTGCAAAAAGCTGGTATTTTTCGGAATATCCCCATTTCCATGTCTGTGATCCTTGCCGTGGGTCGCTTCACCTGCTTAAACAAACAAAGGCAAGCCCAATCCAGTAGATGCCCAATGCCACAACTGCTCAAAAATCCTACCCAACCATCATCAGTTGAAGCCGCATTCATGCCCTATGACCTAAATAGCAGGTGCAAGGCATACTTGTGTGTAATCCACATGAGGATAATGAGGATACATAGGACATGTTCAACGCAGTTGTGGGCTGCGCACCCGCAAAGATTTGGGCAACTGCTGTGCCAGCATAGCCTCGCTTTGCCAACATCTTACCATAACCAATCCAGGAAACTGTTCGATCACAATCAGAACTCTCTTTGACTTGCATGGAATCAGGAAACCGTTGGGGCCGAACAATCGCACGAAAGCAGTCAAGAAGCGACATGAGACGAGTCAACCTGAGCCGGAAATGGCTTGATGAGTGGGCTGGGGAAATTTACTTGACCCACATCCATTCATTTAGGATAGAAGTTTTGGTATGCAGGCCTTGCTATTAGTGTGCTTTGCGGACAAGGCCTGACATCTCCGATCCAATTTCGAGAGGGGGCTGATTTTCATTACACTCTTCCGTTTCTCGATTTGTGGCATGCATTGTGCTGGGCTGCTGGCTTTGCATCCGTAGGAGACCATGTCGATTCTAGCGATCGTTCAAGTCGACGAACATTCGTAAGTTTGCCTACTGAGGACGACAAAAACGCCGCACTTCCGTTTTTCGATGCGTTTTGTTATTTGGCTGCAACATGGAGGGATGCGGCTAGTACGGATGCTTTTTGAGGGTAGCTTTTATGGGATTCTTTCTTTAACATGAGACGTTTACTGTCTGCATGTAGATATTCATGCACCCATATATGAGGAATCTCGCTCCAACCCTCGCACTCATGGACGATGACCAGGGTGCGTGGCACACTTCCGTCCTTACCTGGAGCTTTAGACCTTGAACTTTGTGAATCTAATCGCCATTGCAGAGAGGGCATTTCGCATCAAAAAGCATTGCATTACCTTCCGAGTGTCGACGGCACACAAACAGTATTTGTTTGCACTGCCCTAATCATACTTCGCTGGTTTGCCGATGAGTTCATGTTGTTAACTCAAGCTGTCAACGAATACCTTTGAAGTCTAAGAGCCCTATAGCGTACCAAAAAACCCCTAAAGCTGGGAATCTAGGAAGAACTCTATTCCAATCAAGAGAGTGTCCTGAAGCTGTAGAATCCAGAGCCCCAGGCACTCATTGAAGCTTACATTGGGTGGGAAACCCACTTCCTCAATCTGAGAACCAGTCCTGAACCCGAAGCTCAAAATCTGAAATCTGGATTTGGAAAATCCAACGAGTTCAGGCCAAGTCGAGGCCATCCTCACAGCAGAAGAGCGCTATGCCAAGACCCACAATGACCCATGCATTGGATCAATTGCGTGAGGCTTACGTTCAAGTTTAGGGCTTTGGATTTGTCCGGGATTTACTTGTTGGACTTACGGTTTAGGATTCGGGATTCGGACCAGGGTTTTTTTGATCTGAAGGTGGGAGGCTTTCAGCTTGAGAATTCGGACTTTGGAGTTGAGCTTCATAACGTCAGAGCCGAGGGCTTTGAACTGGAGAGGTTTGGTGTGGGATTGAAGGGCTGGGCCAGACGGACTTGCCACGGCTGGAGAAGTCAAGGCGCGAACATATTTGATGTTGGCATCATAGGAACCTGAAGTCACTGACTGTATTATTTCTCTCATACGTCCGTGTAGAAAGCATTGCCTCCCTTTTCATTTAATCACCTACAGAAATCGAGCCATGACTTCCCCAGTATATGCCACAATGATATGCGCAATAATGATAGCAGTAGCTGAAAACCGAATTACCCATGGTTCTAAAGCGCATCGCAGAATATGGAGTTTCAGCAAAGCAAAGTGCTCCAACTGGCAAACTATGCCATCTGGCCTTAGATTTTAAAAGCAGACAGCTACCGATTTGCGAATGCTATCGCTCTTGTTTCCAAAACAAGCACAGCCCGAGTGTTCGAGAACACCTCGGTTTCGTCGCGTGCTTTGAAAGCAATTGACGCCACATATGCGGCAGATGCTTCAGCGACAAAAAAAACATGGGCCTGTATGAATTTGGTATCATTACTATGGGCACGACGTACTGTTGAGTTCGCACGCCATTTATACCAGGATCGGACAGCGGTCCTTTTCGAGAAGCGGGCAAGGGCACGTCGTCGCGATCGTGTGGAATGGAGCTTCCGACACTTCTGCGAAGAGAGGGAGCAGCTTGCCTTCGAGACGTAGGGGTTCAAAAACTGCAAAATCCCTAGTGCAAGCAGCCCAATACATGGATGACATAGGGAGATTGCAATTAATTGTATGTGAGCATTTGCCGTAGATTCAGCAAAGTAAGGAATGAAGATGGACCCCAACAGCTAACAGACTGTCCCCAACACATGCAACACAGGTAATCTTAGGGGATGGGGGCTGTTCAATATGCGGGGCAACAGCTTATTTCAACTTGGTCAGTTGCACTGACCAACGGCGAATCCAAGTTGGAACTTTGGGACACGGCAAAAGTCACCAAACCAGAAAATACCGCAAAAACCTCAATGCATGGACACCCTTGATGCACCACGAGCATTGCACAACCGATTCAAGGTCCCATTGATTGAAAGTCAGACGTATTGTGAGACTCGCGGACCATGCTGGCTTCTACTTTGCTGCGAGCGGACCGTCAGGAAGTCCTCATCCTGAATCAGCTTCCTCACTCCAACGCTCACATCCCTAAGTCTTGTTTTGCATAGCGCTGCACCGTTTATCAAGATATGCATGCCCGGCAGTCCTGGCACAGATTGCTCATGACAAGTCCTGCAAGGCCGTTTGTGAAGCATTCCTGCAAACTTCCAAGTCAAAAGAAGTAACCTGCCGGTGACTCGAAGGTATCCGCCTACCTTCCGTGGCTGTCTGTCAGCTTGGGACATTACACGCATTGCGGACGTGGCGAGCTGCAATCTAGCCGCATCAAGTGCAGGGCCATGTCAGTCTCACATCATATTTGAACCCGCGCAGGGTCGAGCAACGGAGCCCCATGCCAGTTCTGCAAGCTTTGGTGGGCGTCCTCAACTGGCCGCTATACAAGGGCTAAATTCTCAATATCTGAAGCTCTTTCCCTGAACCCGAAGTCCTGAACCATGTCCCCATTTACCTTACTTGGGAAATCGTGAGCTTTCAGCTAGAGTTTTGCTGCAGCTTCTGCAGCTAGAGCTGCCAGCAAGCTAGAAGGTGAGCTGGACGCGGAAGACTTCGCAACTGCAGATGCGGCTGAGGAGGCTGAGGAAACTGGAGATGATGGCCCTGGCCTGCGCTCAAGGCCGGGCATTGTCGGTTCAAGAGTTATCTTGGACTCAGTATTGAGGCTGCAACCCGGAGCCTCCTTTGCCGCCGGGTTTCGACTTAACACTAGACTTTAGGTTGTTTGCTTTTCGCTTCGTCCAGAATTTTTCAACCCAATACCAAGATGGATTTCGGTTGGTCTACCAAACTGCCTTTAATGTCTCATGCACGTCATGGTGGGAAGGGGTTCTGAACTGCGCGGGTTGGGTTGTGGAGATGCGCTTGCGGTTGAGGATTTGTTTTGAGGCTTTATGTGCAGGGCTTAGGTAGTAGACTAGCGTATAAGGCTTTGAAATTTACCTCAGGGATTTGGGCGAGAAACTTGCATACGTTTGAAGCCATGGGGTTCATTCAAGTCTCAGACTGTGCAAGAGGTATCAACTAGACTAGATACACAGCAGAGCTGTTCCCGCCTAACCAGCAACATGGATCCCCTCATTCTTGTGGCAAAGCTTGTTTTCAAAAGCCAAAGGCTGCCCAAAGATTTGGTTGATTGTGAAAATTCCTGGTAGGGCCACCCCTGGAGGAAGACCCCACGACCTCAACTCTTGGAGCTCCTTTCGGGCAACATGCTAAGCCGCGGCCTTGCCAGGACTCGTTCTGGGTCGGACTGCTCTGAGGCAGGCTGCTTTTGACAGTTTCTCTAAAGACGTCAAGTTCCTGATTGCAATGCGTAACATGAGCTTGTACATCGTGGCAGCAGGGGCAGGTGCATAGTGCAACAACGAGGAAAATTCAAATGAAGTAGCAGGGTGATCGACAGGGGACCAGAGAAATTGTTGTCCCAAAGTCATACCAAGGCGATACTGAGAAGTCCTACTTTCTGTTCTTTGTAGAGAACCCTTCATGATAATGCGAGACAGAGTTTTGAATAGTCAAATCTACCTGTCTCATGACCCTGCGGCATGTCTCCACTCTATACTGTAGGCCTTGCTTTTTGTTGGGGGAGTACGTTAGCTTTAAAGGCTGGGTAAGCGCATCCCTGATCAAGGTAACCCAACCCAAGAACGATAAAAGGGGCTCTTGACGACACCCCTGCCTTGAAAACAAGCTAGAAGCCCTACATGAAGCCCATGAGCTGTCGTCGCTAACTCATGGGTGAGGCCGGCCACGGGACGATGGCTTGTCCGGATGGCTTCGGTAGCAGCTGGCAGAAGATCCTCAGTGAGGACATGCTTTTGGCTTCGGCATAAATGGGTAGGCATTTAAGCGGGCTTAGGGTTTTGGTGTACGGCTCAGACGTTCATATTCAGAGACGTGGAGGAAGGGTGTGATGACCATGTCAGTACCTCTACTATTTGCAGAAGGACCACTGCTGCCTCCCTAAGGTTTGGCACTGGACCCCTTAAACTCTTATGCCTAAAACATTGACACCCGTCGTCCTGGGCCACCTGAAGCCCAAAAAAGGAATTAGACGAATGACAACACAGAAACCTTATACCCCACATCCTTAAGGACTCACATGATGCCCCAAACCGAGCAACGCAAATCTCCTCGAGCGCATGATCCCTCAGATTTCTGTTGGTAATCCAAACTTTGGCCAACTAACACCCAAATTCAAGCCCACTTGCCACGTCTTTTAACACATAAACCCTTGCTGAAGCTTCGCTTTGACAACCGCCGTGGCTGGAATCTGAAACCCTGCTTCGCGGGCCCTACATTGCACACCATTCCGACGCGGGGTCCCCTACAGAGCCCGTGCGGATCCACGCACAAGTTCCAGACGCTTTGACTGCGCCCACTCCTTTACGGGTCCGGGTTTTGCTTTTTGGAGAAAATCCAGTCGCCATTCACATTAATTGAAAATGATTGTTTATCTTTTGCATTATACCTTTCTCTGGTAAATGCGGAGGTTGCGATTATGTCCTGCACTGCTTTTACGCCCTCCAGGTCTTCAGCACAGGTTCAGACAGGGTGAACACTGCATGAAGCTCAACGACCTGTTGCCATCCAATGCTTGAATAAAAGGGAAATATCATCAAGTGGTACATTCATGGGATGTGCGGCTGCTTTTTGTCAAGCAGCGCCTGCTTTGCAGAGCCTCAGAGGAGCTCACGGACGCATGCATCATCGCCGCCTTCGGCATCCCTGCATCTGCCGCAGCGGAGGCCGACGAAGCATGCTGGGCGTCGCTGGTAGGCAACTTCAGAGGTATTGGGTCGGTTGGAGGATACGTGTGCTCAGAGTTCAGTCCAGATTCTAGGCTCTGTTTATTCCGTTTCAAGTGAAGTGTTCACGTGTTAGGTGATTGGTTCTACCGTTTCGGGCTTCAGAACTTCAGATTTGGAGTCTATCTTTCTGGCTTGGGGGTTTGGAATTCCAAGTTTATGCTTGGAGATTTGGGGTGTGGAGTCTCACTTGCGGGATCTGGGTTTGAAATCCATCCTTGGCTCGAGTGCTTCTTGCTTAGATGAATAGGCATACTATATTCCTACAGCAGTGTTGCTTAGAGCGCTCACTTCTGGTGTCCCGTCACATGCCCCAGGCCAAAAGAGGTCGGGGTTGAGATAACTTTTTAGTTTCGGAAATTTGGATTGTGAATCTGGGGATGAGCGTAAGGCTTGGGGTTCAGGGTTCGGGGTCGAGGTTTAAAGCACGGCTTCAGATTCAGCATGGAGGGGTTCGGGGTCCAAGGTTTGAGCGGTGCAACCAGGTAGAGTGCAGGATTTGGAATTTGGGTCTCAGCTCTGCGGTCAAGGAGTAGAGGACGGACAATATGCCATGTGATGTAAACAGGTGCAGCAAGCATGTGTCCATGCACAGAAGATCATGCATGACAATTCTCATGAAGGAGTGACGCACCTTAGCCTTGCAGCTTTCCTAGTACTATTTGCAAGTCAACAACCAAAGCCCCTTGCCGTGACCAAGGCGCTTGCTGACTATGTCCGTTGGCTGCATAATAGCTAGCCAGTATTAAAGGGGTGAGTGACCCGTAAACAGTAAGGTAAACATCCAAAAGCGATTAGTTACCCCTACAGCAAAACCATCAGCAAAACAGCAGCAGCAGCAGTGGTAGTGAGAGACTTTTCTGTAGTGTTCAGCCAGGACTACGCTCAGAAATGTCATTCTGCAAACAATGGAGACACAGTGACAACAAAACGGTGTTAATAGCAGCACAAGATATGAGATCGTGCTGCTAATCTCAAGCACGACTTGCAGCTAAATGAAGCTAAAGCCAAGCCCAAAACCCCAACCCTGACCAAAAATCACACAGTCTTCTTCCCAGTGACTTGCGACCAGAACCTTCCATAACATTGCTGCGTGAAGAATCCATCGGGTTGGCACACAGATTCTGGGATATACGCAGTAATGGCCGGACTTTTGCTTTTGGGGCCTGCGAATCTTAGCCGCGGAGTTTGGCTATTGCACCAGTATCTGTATGATGTACTACAGTTACCTGTACTTCTGCTCTGAGTTGCTGCAGGTGCTCCTCAGGCACCTGCAAGGCAATTGGACCAGTTGGTTGCTCGCCATGCACATGCTGTCTATTCAGGACCTTTCGAGCAAGGTAGGCAATAGAGGACCACAGTGGCTCTTCCCTTTAAAAAGGCGGGACTTCTGTGATGCCAAGTAGCTGAGCTGTTAGAGTGGCCAAGTACTGGTGAAACAATCAAAGAAAAATCGTCAGCGTACAGTTACACCAAGGAATCGATTGCAGTCCCCTTCCAGCTGCCCTCGAAGTATCGCTTGCAGAGCGCTTTGCAGGCTGACTGGTTCTGTTGTAGAACACAAATGGTGCATAAGCTTACAATACTGACCTACCATAAGTCAATTCCTCAACCAAAACAACTACCGCATCTACATTATGTTGGCGATTTGAATTCCGCGCACACATCGCCGAAGTATCTTGCAGAACTTGCACCGGTAGCATCCAACAGCAAATTTTCCTAAGGCTTCTGGCTCCATAACTGATCAGTTCCCCACGCGTGAATAAAGCTCCACTAAAGCAGTTACAACATATCCAGAAGCCTACAATCCCTGAAGACCATTTTGTCGAGAAGCCAGACAACTATTTAAAAAGATCGGGAGACAAACAATCACTTCGGACGGATTTTAGTGTGGGTCTCGGGTTATAACTATGGCTCTCCACGTCTTAGTAAAGCAACCCTTACTGAAGAATGGTTAATAAGACCACTGCAGAGCAAAAGACTGGATTCAGAATGCGGCCAGTTGGAGGAATAGTCCAGGAATAAGGGCTGTCGCAAAGGATACAGGGCTTCTATATTTGTAAGTCCTCTCCCATGTAGATTTGGATCCCTTAGCTCGAACTCTATTTCGAGGCATAATCCTGGAAGGTTGTTTGAAAATGGCAAGACTACTTTTCACCACAATCCAGTTAGGGGGAGATCAGCTATGGCAGTTTAGAATAGAAAGGAAAAGGATGGTCACAAGAACATGAGTCATTTCACAGGTTTTTCTTGCAAAAAGGAAGGAGACATAGAAATCCCATTTGGATATGGGGCTTCATAGATTTCCAAGAGAACTTTCAATTCCAAGAATGACTTATGCTAGGAACCATATACAAGATCTAAAGGAAATTCATTCAGAAGCAAGGGTTCCTTTGAGTTCCATGATGGTTTTGCAAATGAATGCTACATTGGCACCTTGATAAGTTGTTGAACTAATACCCTGCCCAATAACACACCACACTTCAGCCCAACGAACACCAAGACGGACATGATTTTGCTGTTAGAGGAAGGAATTGCCCTTTTCCTCGAGGTACCAACAGGGTCCAGGGCTGTTGTATAGAATGGGGAATGTGGGGTTAAGACCGCAAATCAGAAGCCCTGCTTGCAAGTACTTCACAGAGGCCAAAGCAATGTAAAAATTCTAAAGTTTCCTGTACTCTAGGTCAGGTCTCACAATTCAACAAGATTCACAAGCTCCACTTTTGCTGAGATATCCTTGCTAGCTCTGTCACACTTGTTGTCGTCTGTTTGTGCGTCGTCTGCTTGTTTCTCCCTGCATTGCCCTTTCAATCTTTGCCTGTTTCTGACATCATCTCAGCCTTGCACTTGGAACTCGGATGTAGAGTCTCTCTTTGTCGCTCTCTCCAACTCACAGGACTCTCAGCGCTGTCGATCCGGGAAAAGTTTGGCGCGCTGCCAAACCAGGCCTATGAGGTGACCAAGGCAAGGGTCCAGATGGGAATGGGACTATGTGACTGTGACGGGAAAGCAAAAAGTCGATGAAGCTTATGGGATGTCTGGGACTGGGGGTTAAGGGCTGTCAAGATCTGGGCACCGACTTGTAAGCACTGTACAATATGTACAAGTTGGAGGTTATGCACTGGGAATAAGTTGTTCTCAAAATTATGCTCCCGATCTTGGCCCTCTCTGGGTGTTCCTTGGAATTAGTAATGTCGCGCGTTCGGACAGCCCGAAGCCCTGCAGCACGGGCTCAAAGCCCTCAACACACATATGACAGTTTTCGCTGCAACTGGTTGTCATTCTTAACTTGTGTTCCCATTCTCCAAGCTGAGAATCTGAAACAGTCCCAGGTGTATTCGTTACCAGGCGGTTACCACCATTTAAGGCTGATATGATGCTCTCATCAAAGGCAATGGGGTTGTATCAGGTTTATGCAGGGCTCCAATACGGCTACCCACTTGATAGCTACCCACCGGAAACTTCACTTGATGCCGACATGACTGCCATGAGCGTAGTCCCTTCCACCATTGCTGAGAACCCTAGCCTCCATCAATTACCCAATGAAACCCGAAGTGCCCTGACCACATACATCCAGTACGAAGGCTGAGATCATCATTGTTCCTACTACTGTTGTGACTATGCTTCAGTTCTATAGTCAAGAGCTTCGTCTACATGACCATCAGCAAGATTACAGCATCAGACTTTGACCCCCTTGTCATTGAGACCGTTTGGTATGGATACCCTGCTGGTCCTGAAGTTGTGGTGGAGCCACACTCCTTTTGCACGCATGTCTTGTAAATCTACATACAGCCGCGCATACCCGCGGGAAACTTTGCTAGGCCCCCGCGACCTACTGCGGAACCTCCATTTGTACACATAAGCCCCATCCAGCATTAGGCATGTTTGAAACAAGTGTCGTCCCAAATAGGTTTGCGCAGGTGAATCCTTACCTCAAGTGCCCCCCAGACTGCACACATGAGTTCCGTTGAGTGAAGCTGCAGGATCCGGTCTTTGTGGCCTGGCAGCAGGCTGCCGGGCCCACTGCTCGCGGAGAAACCTGGGTGCTTCAGCATCTTGGACATTTAGGGTCCTGGTGAGCAGCGTCGTTGCTGTAATCGTAGGAAGAGTCATAGTAGCAACAGCTAACAGGATGACACAACATCACTTTTCGCATGATTGCTCATTCGTGGAATGGCACATATGAAGGCATGCTGACCGACGGCTGGCTGAGTTTGAAGCTGCAAGGCACTCTGGCAAGAATTTTGGGCTTGACAGGGGAAGCTTGACGCAAGCCTCGCAACTGGCTGCAGTCGTCCGCGTGAATTTAATTCGTTTTAAGTTAATCCATTTTTTGTGGCTTCATTGGGCAACAGAATGCTGTCCTCTCGAGTGGTTCTGCATTGCACGGCATGCCAGGAACATAGACCAAAGTTAAACAACCTGCAGCACAGGTCAGACCACGAGCACCGGCGACTTTCCGCACAAGCTTCAGTGGCCAAGCCCTTTGGCTGGTCATGCGTATTTGCTGAACGTGTTAGGGGTCTGCTGAGTGCTTTCAAAACCAGGCGCACAGCTACAATAAGAGCAGTGTCAACGCGTGCCTTCCTACTTTGGTTGCACTGTTGCTCCTCAACCCTTAGCTTGCTGCGAATCCTACAGCCAGCGTTGTCCAGCTACATGCGGGATACAGCAGATAGCTCCTCGTAGCTTCACAATGATTTTTGCACGTTATATATGCGATGTTTTGCAAGTTGCCCACCTAGTAAGGAAGCAGTTGGAATTGGCGAAGGCGCAGGGGCTTCCGGTGGTCCTGACCCTTGCCTGCTGAGGAGGGCAAGGTTGGCTTAGAGCATTTCAGACTTCAAGGTTTACAGCCCCGACCTGCTTGTGCAGCCTTTCGGAACCATTGCCATTGCTTGAAGCCATCCTAGTTGTATGGTCTATGGTTCGCTCATTTCCGTGCAATTTCACTGGTA